CGCCCAAAATTAAATAGTGTTAAATAGTGTTAATTATACATTGTGTCGATCACATATATATATAGTCATCATGCATCGATTAATAGAGTAAAAGTATACGGGCAAATACAAATCAAGAGAATACAAAATTAACGTTAGATAACAAAAAGAAAAATCGGCGCACCAGTATAAAATAGAAAAAAACTTTTATTCGACATAATACACAAATAGATGATTCAGACGGAGCCAAGCAAAAACGGGCTCAATTTGGCATATATAACAAAACTAAAAGCCATACAATAACAATGTAACCCAGCCATTTACTGGTATCTTAACCCATACAAAATACACAAAATCACGGGAATGATCATCCAATCAGATGCCTAGAATCCGCGGCTCCACTTAACTCACCATTAAACATACTCTTCGTACTTCGTACTACGTTTCTGGTAAATCAAGTGCTGTTTTTTTTCCTATAATCAGGCAGTAATTTCACTTTACTCTGGTCAAAACAAAAAAAAGCAATACCTAATATTAAACTCAAAAATTATAAAACAAAATCTTTTTGTTAATTTATCAATTATAAAAACAAATAATAACCATGATCCGAAATTTTGTCTTGTTATTCGTTTTTTTGGTCGCACTTTCTATGGTAAATGCTTTTCCATCTCAACTGGTTAAAAGGCAGACTTCTTTTGGGAGATGTCCGTCTCCAGTACCTTAAGATACTCCAATAATCACTAATGTAACGCTTAATCCTGATCCTCCAAAAGCTAATTCTCAACTCGAGGTTAAAGTTTCAGCAACGACCAATGAAGATATTGTTGATGGCTATGTATTCTTGCTTTTAATTTTCAATAAAACTAATAAAACTATATTATTCGGTGATGAAATAGACATTTGCACTACAGTTAAGTGTCCAACTAAAGTGTTTAATTTTGACATGACATTTACTTTAGGAGATTTGCTGTCATCATACCTCATTGGGGTTGAAATTGGAGATCCACATAAAATAATGTTTCAGCTTGTGGACTTGCTCAAGTCCAATAGTTATTATTTCGTAATTTAATTGATTTTTATTTTTATTTTTATTTTTATTTTTTTTTAAATGCTTATAATTTTTTATTTTTTACCTTTTTTTTAAACGCTTATAATTTATTATTTTTTTTTTATTCACTTTAAAATAAAATTTGCTAATTATTGCTAAGCGGATAAGAATATATAAACTTTGCAATTATATGTCGCAGCTTATTTAAATAGGGCTACTACAATATATTAAGGGAATTGCTATTTCCACCCCTATTTTTGTTAATGCACCCTTTAAAATTTAAAAAAGTGATTTAGAAGAGGTATTGTCATTAAGAAAACCATCCCTTTGGTCTTAATAAAAGTTGTTCATCAGGCCTTT